TGTCTATTCTGAACTCTTTTCTTTCTACGCAGCAGCGCAACATAATAGATCAGCTTTTGAAGGAGAAATAGAGGCTATTAGGATGGCACTATGCCAATTATGTTGCCTGGATACGAAATTCACCAAAGCGGTGATACTTTCGGACTCACAGTCAGCAATAGACTCTATTGGAAACAGAGAGACACCCAAAAGAACTGAGATAAAGGAATGTAGAAAACTCTATGAGCTGCTGAGAGAGAAAAACAAAACAGTGGTCCTATAATGGATTCCTGGTCACTGTGGTATTAATGGCAATGAGCTTGCTGACAGACTTGCTAAGAAGGGGACAACGATTTTGCAATGCATGGACCGGCCCATGTCTTTCCACACAATGAAGGCCTTAATCAGGAGAGAATTCCGGACCTCAAGGTTCAACGAACTCAATGCTCGAACAAAGGAGAAACAGTGGACAGAGGCACTCTCCGACATACCCAACTGGCCAAGAATCGAAGTCGTTGCTGAGTTCAGACTACGTATTGGACACGATTGCTTGGTAAAACATCTTCACATTTTGGGAGTATACACTCAATCCACATGCCCCTATGTAACCTACATGAGGAAATGGAGAAGACTCACCTGATTCGGTGTCCAGCCCTAAAGACAACGGCGGAAAGCCAGAGATACTGGGAAGCAAGAAGACAGCTTATGAAGTGCTATTAATTAACTGCTATAAATGTACCCCCCTCCCTCTTGGGGGGAAGCTGAAGTCAAAGATTAAGGCATAATGTTAAATATCATAAAGCCTGCCATTTGAAATAAATAAATAAACTTCTCACTTCAAACTACCATGACCCCACTGTATGTCATAGTCGACTACTTTCACAGTAGTCACCTCACCTTTTCTCTACTCTGTGGATCCCTCTTCTGTTCCCCCTCCCCACTTTCTATGGCTTTGATGTTCCTCCCATTTGTGAAGTTCGAAGTCTGTTATAGGGCTAGTGATAACTATCTAAACGCCTGTGTTATGAAATTAATAAGCATGCTATTATCTATCTTCTGTCTAATTATGCTCATTATTTAAGTGACATAAAGGCAAAATCTTTGTGCAGGATTATTTTGTTAAAAAATTCGACTTGAAATATTGGAACTTTCTTAGAGTTTTATAAAGGTGAAGGAGCAATGTCAAATATTTTAATTTAATTAAAATACAACTCATTACTTTTCTCTTGCTCTCGCACATACATCAAACCAATCCCTCAGATTTTTGAAGGTGCGTCGACATTCTTGGAGCAACACCAGTGACAGTTCGATCTCAAGTTATTCGGTGGTTATCTGGGACTGTTCCGCGACAATTATTCGAGGACAGTCAAAGAATTCATGGCTTTGAGGTTGGTAGGATTGCTGAAAAATCTGCCGTGTGTCCCAGGGGTAATGTCATTGAACGTGAATCAGATGACATAGCTTCTCAACCAACAGCGTAGCATTTGTGACCTTCTGGAAGATGAAGGCCTTGATCAGGAAGCATATTTTGTCGTCCAAATGAATCAAAAGACAATAGTCAAGAATTTGTGGCTCGCTACAATTATCATAATTTTAAAAAGGCATTAGCGCATCAAATGGTCTTATTTCCCACCGGACATCTGTAATCTAGGCTCCCAAACGCACCCACTTATCCCATTGCTATGCGATTGGTCTAACATTGCTAGAATCGGGCATCCAATGAAGCTGAAGGAAGCTATAACCGCGTGCAGTTAGAACAGCTCTACATGTGCTAGCCACATGTGGTCTTCATATTTAATTAAATTTTACTGAGTTGGGCATGATTAATTATTGTTAAGCTAAGTTTATGATAATTGAGTGCTCACTAATAAACCAAGATTGTCTAAACTCAAACGGTGATGTCATGTAACCAAGACAAATCATGATTTCGCGACTGTGTCAATCAAATTTCTTAAAGAGATTCCAGCAGTAAATAGACTCTACCAATGTTGAACACCTCAGCTTCTTGGATATGCCTGGATTCCAAACTTTTGTTTGACTGTTTTGTTGAACCTAACCTTAAACATGGGGTGTACTATAGAATTACCTCCACGTGGTGCATCCTGAGTATCATATACTTAACCGACAGAAAAGTCTATTTATCGGCAGTTGACTTCTGACTTAAAACTAACATCACCCGACTGTATGTCATATTCGAATCCATTCACAATACTCATCTTACCTTACATTTTCTCTACCTTTGGGTCTGTCCGTCTCTTTAACATCTGTGAATCACACTTCTGTTCCCACATCTCCAATTTTTTCTCACTTTGATGTTCCTCCTCTCTGTGAAGCCGAATTCAGATAAAGGTCTAATTATAAATATCATATAGCCAGACATTTGTCATAAATAATATATTAACATTTATTTTCTTTGAAATCCTACCTTTTAGCATATATCCTCTACATTCATTTCTCTTAACCTCAGCTCAAAAAAACAGATCAGAATCGGGCTCTCCAAGATGCGCATATTGAAATAGTCGCAAAAGTTGACTATGCGTGACAATAGAATAGGCTTTACCTCTGTGAAGTGAAGACAACGAACTAATTTATTCACTTTTGTTCAGAACATTTCCACCCAGACACTCTTTTACCTATTTTGCTCAAGCTGGATAATTAAAAATTCAAAAAACACGTCGTTCTATTTAAGAATGCCAATCTGCACGCATTCTCCTTCACGTAGCGTTTACATTCAGATCAATTGAGCTTTGAATGAAAATTGGCAATATTCCAATTTGGCTAAAATTTTAAGATATTTTTATATGCATTTGCATATATCTCATTGCTCAAGAATAATGACTTAACATTTACACCTGTGTTTAAAATTAGAATGGCGTAAATTATCGAATAAAAGGATTTGGGTTTCTTTTGATTTTTGACTGTTTATAACTTCTCAAAGTGAGCCTAATGAATCGATACATCAATGATGCATTGCAAGATCTTTGACATATTCAATAACATTTTGGAAAAAACTTTTTTAAAGTGAATGGAAATAATAAGCTTCAACTTCTCGAACGGTGCCAGCAAAAATTTACAAATTTCAAACCACTGTTTTTATCGGGACATTGTTTTATTCTCAATGTTCTGAGTTCCTTAAATTTATTCCGATTTCAAGAAACAAAGCTATATTTAAATTCACATTTAGAATAGTCTTAACTTGTTTTTTTAATAAAAATTGAGTAAATACACGAATTTCTAGTCCAAACCAATGTTTTTAGCATGTAAACAAAAATCATTGAATTTATTTTCAATTTCAAATCAAACATTTTGCTTACTTATTTAACAATTAAATTTAAACCTTCAGATAATTCCATTCAGTGAAACGTATATGCAATAGTTGTCAATGCTTTGTTTTAAATTTTATAGTCCAAATCCTATCCATCAACTTATTATTTTATTCAAGCTCGCGATCTTTCATGTTTGTACATAGTTAAAGCATTTTTTCTGTAAATTGGAATCAATCAGGAAGTGACACAAATTGCATTGTCCATTCGTCTCATTTTATCTGCCATTAATCACATGAGTGATCTAACATTGCAAATGAATATTGGTTTCCTTTTCTGATAATATTACGGGTTAATCAATAACATAGAAATGGCAAAACCTTGTAATAAAGAAGTGTAACTTGTTTTGCAATTACGATTGATGGTTTAATCGAACATAAAGATTTTAATCTCTTATCAATCTTGGTGTAATTTTTCAGATTAGTGCAATGAATCCATTTTTGAATTCTTTCATTGTCGAAAAAGTAAAGCATCGTGAATAACGATTGATTAACTAGTATTTTAATTAAAGTGGGTAAAGCTCGAAGCATATATAAAACCATTTAAAAAATATTAATGACGGGCTGAGTTATTTGGTGCTTACTTTGGGCGCGATTGAGCGTGTACTTCAACATAGGTGTAACAGAAAATTTATTTATTTATTTATTTATAAAAAATGGCAGGCGTTTTGATAGTTATCATTAGCCATTTAGTTCACTTAAGGCATCACACAGGGAGAGGAATATCAAATCGAAAAAAGTTGAGAGGGGGGGACAGTAGAGTGTTTTAAAGATGTAAAAGAGACAGACACAAACTTAGATGAAAGGTGAGGTGAGTACTGTGTGAGTAGTCGAATATGACATACAATGGGGCGGGGGTAGTTTGAAGTCAGAAGTCAACTGCCGGTTTATAAACTTTTAGAAAAAAATGTGTTGTAGTACTGTGGAAGTGGTCGAATATGTCATACAGGGGAGCCTTGGTAGTTTGAAGTCAACTGCCAGTTAATAGACCTTTTTTGCCGTATGAGTATACGTTGCCCAGGGTGCACCACGTGGAGGTAAGTCTATCGCACACCCCGCGTAACAGAAAATGAATGTATTATAGTGAATCGGAGTTTACTTAAAGCTCCGATTTCAAACATTGTGTAAATTATGAATGAATTATTTTCAGATTAATGTCACCATCTTCATCGAATATCTTTTTCTTACATTTAAATATTCAGTCAGCAATATTTTGATGCCTAAGTGGTGCAGATTATTTGACAGTTTGAGAGTACAAATCAATTGAAAAAAATAAATTATTTGCAAATTATCTCTTAAAAGTGGGATTATAAAAATCCTAAAAATAGATATGCATATGCGTCATCATGTCCATTTTATTAACTTATAAGTACCAGATTTGGTGGATTTATCAAATTTAAATTTTACCATAAAATAGATAGACAGAATTTTTATAAGGATGATTGTAGGATTTATTTTATTTTCCATATCCTAGTAAATATACCGAGATGAATAAGCTCAATCAGTCTACTTAGATAATACCAACTTGAGCATTATTTTGACCACCAATTTGAATATTTTGAGCAGAATTTGTGCCTTGAAATAAATTGTGAATATATTCCCGCTGTGCATTTAGTCGACAATACGAGTTTTAATTTAGATATGAAAAGTGTTGATGAGGTGTAAGTGAAAACTATCCAATCCCTTTCAATACAGCAAATTTGCTTTAGTTCCAAAATTTATTCTACTCTTTGTGATCCATTTATAATAATGTAACATCTCTAACTCGATGTTGACAAAAATAGCTTCTTGAAGAGGACTTAACAGGACGGTGGTCAATCGTTAATGATTAATGAGTTTATTGTAAGCTGAAACATATAACCATTGCAGTCCTACCACACCTCGGCAACATAATCTAAAATGCGGTTCTTGAGC